CCCACATGTGCACACCAACATGAGCAAAGAACAGGATGGAAACACTGAAAAAGAAGATCTGGTTGCAAGAAAAAGAAAAGAAAAAAGCATCCATTGTCTGTAAATATTTCAGCTACAGAAAGAACGATGTTGCCCAAAAACAGATGCTCTGTCAGCAGTGTCTTGCAATTGTTGTCTCTACATGATTGCAACACGGCTGAACTGTTTGTTAAATCAGCACCACAGAGCTCGAAGTGATGAGAGCAAAGCCAGACCCGAAAGCCATTTAAAGCAAAAACCGACTTCAGATGCCTCTGCTAGCGTTACACCATATAAGGAAGGCTGTAAATGGCAGAGAGAAATCACTGATGAGATAACATTTCACCTTACAAAAGGCATGAAACCAATTTACACAGATACCAAAGATCATTTTGACAAGCCGTACGTAGTACCATGACATATCTGTACTTCTCAAGTTGCCAAAAAGTTGAAACAGAGTCGTCACCAGTGGAATATCATGCAGCTACAACGGACATGTGATCCAGCTGAAGCAAAGCACTACATACGTCTGATGGTTCACTTTATTGATGAGAACTAACAACTGAAACGTGACCTTTTCCCAATTGGTGATACAGATTAGAACGTCACAAACAGGATGAAACAAGCGTTGACTGCTTCGGGCCTCAATGAGACGTGAAGTCTTCGTACCAGAAGACAATGTGGTGAACATGATGACCAGGTTGACCAGGCTGCAGAGCTTTGGTGAGTTATACATATAAACAAGTCATAATTAAGCTATTTTTTTATTTCAAAATATAAATCCCAAAAAAACAAAACGCCACAGCGGCAGTCTCATCAGGGCAAAGAGTTCATCAGTGTCCCATTCACATGTAACACGGAGTCATTAGAGTTCATGTTGATTGAAAATATCGAGCAAAGTGTTTCATTACACAATGCAGGATGGGACTGTGTTTGTGTGCATGAAGGGGCGGGGTGGTGGGAATTGTGGTAACCTAAAGGGGAGGGGAACTTCCTTACTTCCCCACAACTCCCCCTTCCTTTCACACACAGACAAACACCTAAACATGGCCGTAGAAAAGCCACATAACTGCAGTAAATCTGACCTGATGCTTCCATCCACCCACAGACGGGGCTCTCAGCTGCACGGCGCGGACACAAAAGGAGGAAAAAGAAAATTCCAACGATTATGTCATTTCGCAGGCCGACCTGGGACTTGTTTCCACCACCTCGTCCCTCTGAAGGCTGCTGCTGAGGTGTCGGTTCAGGTTTCAGAACAGCCTGGTCGACTTAACTATGCTCACAACTATATTAATCTGCTATAGTGAACTTTATTGACACCTGGACTAATCAATATAAAGGTCCACAGATTACTACGATGATGTGAGTTTACTGAGTTATCTGTAACTTTAATGTGTAAATGCACGACTCACTTCAAAAGTCTGTGTTTTTGTTTTTGGGTGACATAATTGTTCACCCAAAAGGATTCTTCACTTCCAACTTCTGCGGAGAAAAACAGAAAAACACTGGTATTTTTCCATGTGAAGTGACCACACCCCCTTCATGGCAGGTTCACCTAGTGTTCGACTCTATTGCTCTCCATTTGGACCCATATTTGATATTAAATGTATAAGAATTGCACTTAGAGGATTACTGCAGTTGATTTACCTGCTGTATTTCCTAATTCTGTGGCTCTGTGCATCATGCGAAGAGAAACAAGGAGTTGCATTAAAAAAAAGTGTCTCATCTCTTAAAGTGCCATTCATTCGTTCACTTAGAGCCTGTGTAGAGCCCAGTGGGCAGACATCCTGTTTGAACATCGTTGATGGTAACTATGTACAAATCAAAATGTATCCATAAGTCCAGCAGCAGCTAATTCAATTACAGCTCTTCCATTGATGATTCATAAAGAAATTCTCCTCAAAACTAGCATTTGTTTTAAGCATCCATTTGTTTTCCAGGCACATGTGCAGTCGCTCACAGAGAGGACAGTCCACCAAATTTTGGGACGGACATTCACAGACGAGTCCACATGGAGGAAGTCGACTTGCGTGGATGATGAAATGTATGACACACATAGTCTTGCTGTACATGCACCATGTGAGTCACTATGTTCGTGGGAATAGTTTTTCACTAAAAAACATCTGAAAATGACGAACAAGTTGGCTCAGTTACATCTAGACATTATGATTTGTAGAACGGGGCGTCACTGCAGCGCCACAAGGCTTCATTTATAACGATATGTTGTGGCACAACTTACCTTTATCACAAAACTGTAGCTCCTGTGATTTGGATAATATTTCAATTAATTGTTCACCCTACAAGCAGCACGACTTAAGGCTTGTAACTGATAACTGACTTGTGATTTATGTTTTTCATATTTAATTTTGCATGTGTTCGTTTTGTTGTTGCTTTGTGCTTTGACAGCACATGAGTCCAGTGTTTGGTATGTTGGCCGCTGCTCCAGGTGCCGAGGTGCGTGTGATGCAGAGTTCGAAACAACACCTACGTGCTTTAAGATCTACGCGGTTTAGAGACGTGTTCTCAGCCTGCTACCTTTATCAGTTTCATCTTCATCGTACACGGTGAGATCACTGACAAACACATTGACCACCCTGCTGCTGCTCCAACACATCACACAGCTGTGAAACAGGAAGAGCACAGCGCTGACACAGCAGCACCAACCAGGAAGTGACATTCCCTGTGAAAAGACTTTTCCTCTGCTGAGGCCGTAAGCACACAACAAGGAGAGATGACAAAATACGTGATGCCAAAGCTGCAAACAAACACGGACTGGATGATGGAACAAGTCACCAGTCGATCCACCAATGACAGCACAGCAGTAGGGGAAGAAGTTCAAATGAGAGCATCCCTGGGTGTAAATCCCCCCCTCATCACAGCCTACAAAACAGGTGAACACATTTGGCGTGCTGCAAAGTGTGTGTGTGTGTGTGTGTGTGTGTGGTTATGTGTGTGTGTGGGGGAATGCATCTAGTGCCGTAAACACAGGTGGTGCGCTGAGTGCAGGCGGTAAAACCAGAAAACCAGTAGATGGTGAGAGATAAGGTTGAGCCCAGAGCGGAAGTCTGAGATGAAGCTTGAGAATCACATCTGACATGAAGTCACAGCAGGTTCACAAACACTCCGCCTGCCATGTTACGTCGGGGTGCGCACGATTCATTTACGAAGTTAAAAATACGAAAGAGATGTTTTCTCAAAGTCAGGACCTGGTCAGACCAGCAATTTAATATGCAGGAACTTGAGGGAGGCACAAGGTGGCGCAAGCGTTTACAGGAACCATGATGGAAACCTTTAGCCTTTCTGTTTCCTTTGCGCCGCAGGATCCAACAGCTTTAAGCGATACGTTACCTCTCAGTGCAACTAATACCGTAATTTTCGGACTGTTGAGTGCACCTGAATATAAGCCGCACTCGCTAACTTCGAAAAAATTGTACATACATAGGCCACACTTGTCTATAAGCAGCAGGTGTCCACATTGTAACATGAGATATTTACACAAAGATTTTTAAAACTTAAACCGCTAACATACGCAAATGCTCACCGTAAAATGCTTTTGTCCGAACAGTGACTGGAACACGGCTGGTTAAAAAAAAATATACATACATTAGCCTACCAGGAAAAGTCATTGATCGCTATCTTCATCTTCCTCCTGCGCACTAAAACCACTAAAGTCGTCTTCTTCAGTGTCAGAATTGAACAACTTCAGAATTACTTCATCACTTCCTCAGTCTCTCTTTCGTTGTCGCTCTCAATGTCACTTTGAGGCAAATTCGTAAAACTCATAAATCAGCCGCATCATTGTTTAAGCCGCAGTGTTCAAAGCGTGTGAAATATGTAGCGGCTTATAATCCGGAAATTACAGCAGCTATTGGATGTAACTCCAGTTTTATGAACAAGTAAGAAATAGAACAACGCGGGTTTGTGTTGTTAGCATATGTGGTGCATTTTAGGTCAAAGATGTCACGACTAGTCTTCTCAAAGTTTAACCAATCAGCATCGAGACCTGCTCGGTAGTTCATCATGGCGGCTTTGTCTCTCCCCTGAACATGGGAAGCGCAGTCGGAACATGACACAATGTTTTTTTTAAATTTAAGTACAGTTTTGAGGAATAACCGACCCACTGCAGACAAACAGAGGGATGATCAGAGCTGCTGTGAGTTCACCATCAACAGCATGTTTCCATCTGTCCAGCTGGCTGACAATCAGTAACAGTAGTTCTACCAACTAGCACCGCTGTTCATCGCTGTATCACCAAGATATAAGAACCCAGGAGGATGAATTTCACTGTCACTCTGTGGTGAGATGAGGCCTTTTCAAACAGATTTCATGATGATGACTTGGCATCTCATAGTCACAAGACAAACATAATTACATGAACAACGTCTCGTAATTATGAGAACTCTAACTCATGGTTACCCTCTCCAGTTCTGTGGAGTCACTCCAAGCATATCGTATGTAATTACCCCATACGATCAAGGATCAGAAGCCAGAATAAAGAAACCACTAGAATGTTTTACCTTCTGATCCACGATGGAGCAGACGAGCTCCCTGACAGCGGACAGCGACAGGTCTCCGGGGTCGATGGTGACCGTCTCCCTGGTGAGTCCGATCTGAAGCAGGAAGGAGACGCCGTGGATCGATCCCCTAGAGTTGGTGGGGCTGGGGGCCGTCTGGCTGCCGTTGGACAGCCGGCTGCAGAGGGTGGCGGGCGGGCTGGGCGATGGCGACGGTGTGGGCGGGGCCACATGTTGAGGGTGGGCGGGGAAAGACCTGGGCGAGGCCGGCGGAGGCGGCGGGCTGTTGTCGGCCGACATTGTCTGCTATCTGTGACGTCGTCCTGGCAGGAGAAAGGCCTCGTAGGTGAACGACATCCAACAAACGTCAGCCGAGGGTCGTCTGTCCCCTTGTTCGTCTCAGATTCTCACCGCTGAAACCCTGCAAGGAAAGCTTCCTCTCACGGCTGAGCATCTCTGAGGTGAACCATGTGAGTCTGTGAAGTGAAAGCTCAGGCTCCTGAGAGGTTCAACTTTAAAGAGTTTTATATCACAGTTAAATCCTCGATAAATCCTCGGGCCTCCCAACTGAATGTGCTGATTGTGAGCAGCGGCAGCGAGCAAACAACTATGAAATGGTGCAGCGCTGCATCCTCGCCTCACTCAAAGCATCTGTAAAGAATAAAGGCAGGAGGTTAAAAGAAATGCCTCATCTCTCAAGTTGTGAAATCTGTCTAGTAGCTATTAATAAAAATGAAGTTTTGTTGCATGTTTGTCCAAAACATTAGACATAAATGTGCTGTTACAGAAGATGAAGAAAATTAGCGAGTATTCACATTCGAGGTATCAAATTTAGGTGCTTTTGCTTTGAATTAAACAATTAAACAATTACCAAATTAGGTGCAGATCATGTGTCTATCAGCTAAGCATCATAGCAAAAAAATAAGCCTTTTACAAATTCACAAACGGTCACTCTGGACATGTGGTGAAGGATGAAATAAAATGTCATCAAGTGCAGTCTGGTCATTATGAATTCATTATCGAATATATGAATAAATAAAGATTAGTTACCAAATTAAGGAATAATATCAACATGTCTCACCCTGATTGCAGATTTCTAACGACTTTTGATTTTTAACTAGAACATTTGTCTGTAGAACTTGAACCTAACTGACCCCCTGCTTCAGTTGCTACCTTCTATAAATGTCGCCTCATAATAGGAATTTTAAAAATAGTTAAAGAGTTAAATCTGAAACACAATTCTTAACAAAGCAAATTGCAAAGGCTGCAATTCAGGACATACGTCTGACCAGGGTTCAGACTGTTGTGTTAATGGTTTAACAAACTGCTGCCGTTCTCTCTGTGTGATCACAGCTGATGGTATCAAATGTGATAACTTCATGTTCAGATTCCTTTACACGGCGAATGTTGAACTGAGCGAGGATATCTGTCACAAAAATCAGAGTTACATCATTTCTCCAAACCATTCAGGTCTTCCTCATACTTGACTGACATGTCTGCAAAGTTTCAGACAAATCAAGCATTTCAGTGCGACTGAACGAAGCCAAAACACAGTAACGAGCTACAATGACCAGACTTTACTACATCATGAGGCTCCACAGTACGTCGTCTCAGCAGTGAGCATGTGCGACAGTCACATTACAGGAAATGTGATATGAAGGCAAAGTGCTTAAAACAAAAAGACGACTCGTACAGCTCTCATTTTCCAAGACTAACCGACGAGAGAAGTCTGTTAAACGTACCACAATTCACTCTTATTTGAAGCTTCTTGGATACACACTGAGCTTGTGGACATGCACGTTTGAAATGCTTCGCTCACACACACAAGATAAAATCACTCAGTTTCCACTTGGGTAAATCTGATAGCAGAACGCCTTATTTCACTCTTTTTAAAGTTATTTTTGGTCACACACTGGCGCTGCAGTAACTGCGTGGAGTCTAAAGGCTTCTCTGTGCCCACCCAGCCACCCAGCCAGCGCCTACTGTGGGCCACATGTGAGGTGTTTATGGAACACTGGTAAACTGTAGTGTCGACCAAGAAGCAGATGATTAGCAAGTGAGGCCTTTTTGCCTTTAAGACATTCTCTAAATTCAAGCGAAGGTGATTTTGGACCTTATTAAATGCAGAGATTCGCACATGAGCAAGGATGTAGTACAACGTGGAAGTAAAAGCAGAGCTCTGTTTATTTAAAGTGCAATAGTGAAATGAAAATATTTTGGAAAATCAATAATTAATGGAGAAAAATAACCACTGTTGCACTTGGAAGAAAATATGTGGTACAGGAAGGTGAAAATCATAAATGGAATAAAAATCCAGGTCCAGGGTGTTAGCCACCGGGAGCTAGTCTTGGCTAAAGTTAATCATTTTTTCCCATTTTTCTTGAATACAAAAATCAGCTTTGATGCTCTCGTGTGTTGTTGCCATATACACATCATTATGCCATGGAAATATTCAATTTACTTGATTCTAAATAATCAAATAAAACTTTTTACACAAAAACTGCAGCGACTGTCTCTCCTCTTGTTACAGGCAGCTGTAGCTACAGCTATTATCTTCCATTCTGGGGGAAACACATTATTTTGCTAATGAAATGAATAATTTTCGTAACAATAAATATTCAAATCACACCAGGTGTCACATAAAAACTTCAGTGACTGCACTCTGGCTTGATGCAGCTAACTGGACAGTTAGCTTTCACTAAAGCGAAGTTTGGGTTTTTTTCTGTTTCTTATATTTAAAAATAAAAAAAAGACAAATAAATACATTATGAGCGCTCCAACATGTTAGTAACCAAGTATACATATCACATAAATACAGTAGGGACTAAAGCATAAAAGCAGATAAATCTGCCAGCTAAATTAGCACTGCCAGATGCTAACTAGCCTAGCTTAGCAGAATACAGATGACTGCTGTCTCTGAGTGAAATTCAGTTTTATGTAAGTAAACTAGCTTTACATTATATATTTTAACGCCTGTTTATGGAGTAGTGAGAGGGCCAAATAAGAAAAATAAATCAATAAAAGCATTAAAAAAAAAAGTGGAAACAAAAAGAAGAATAAATATAATAATAACTTATTTATTAGTATTTTTTTACTTTTTAAATTTATTTTTATTTTATCATTTTTAGTTATTTTTTCTTTTTTTTTTCCTTTATTTTTTTTTTGCTTTTAAAGCAACATTTAATTTAAATCGACTTTTTCTTTTTTCCTTTGCTTTTAAATGTTGCTTTAAATTAAATGTCACTTTAAAAGCACAAAAAAGAAAAAAAAACCTTTAAAAAATAATGTGAAAAAATAAAATAAAAAACTAAAAATGATTTTAAAAAATAACAATATTTTTTTTTAATTAAAAAATAGTAAATAAATTATTGTTATATTTATTCTTCTTTTTATTTCCACAAAAATATATATATATTTTATTTGTTTATTTTAGTAATTTGGCCCTCTCACTACTCCATACCTGTAGTTAAAAACACATGTAATAAACTTGAGTTCATCAGTAGTGGCAACAAAAACAGATTTTGTCTGTAGATATTGCATTTTTGCTGTGGCCTTTACATTTTCAAAAAATATCTTTTTAGCTGACATATTAGCGTCAAAGAGCATAAAATTAGGGGTTTACAACTTATTGAATGTGTCACACAGCTGTGTTCAAACTAGTTTGTGCCATTTGTAGAACTTTTGCCTTTGCGAGGCAGAGCTGTGATCTGATGACAGTTTAAATCATGCAAGTAAAGTGTGTTTAACCTAAGAATTCATAGCAGTCAAAAATAGTACAAAATAGTATATCATGTAAAATAAAATAAATAAAATAACAGAGCAGTAACATTGAACTTAACTTATTTAGCTGTTCTAAAATACACACATGCTCATTAACAAGCCAAACTAGCTCCATGGTTTAACTCTGGTGGTATTTTTGTGATGTATTTTGGCTGAAGGGACCCTGATAGCTCCTGGTTTAAAACAGCAGACTTATACAGTAAGCAGATAAATGATCATTAATGTATAATAAAGTGTTATGATTTTATTTATATGATTCTCTTCTGTACAATTAAAAAAAATACAAATAAATAAATCTTCAGTCTAAACTCTCACATCTTGGCTATGTTAAGTGTTAAACAGGCCTACTCCAGGTTATTGAAATTGAAGTTGCTGGCTCATTAAACTCTATCTGACTTGTCCTCATGAGCGTTCCTCTGATCCTCATCCTGCAGCTGGAACGGAGCACATCTGGATGAGACGTGACAACACAACAACTTGATCTACTCTAAAGTTTGAACACAATCAACAGGCTGCGTGTTTTTACAGCATTCCCACGGATGAAAGGAGAAGTTAAAGGCATCACGACCGACCTCTGAGAACGCGGCGGTTTCTCCGCTTCCACAAAAAACGTGCGTAAAGTCTCCTCCAGCGGCTGCTCGCGCCGCCGCCGTTCGCTTTCACCGACACGGTCCCGCTCCGTCCGCTGCTCTCGGTCCTCCGGGGCTGGAAGCGACGAGTAAAAGCGGGCTGGTTGAAGCGATGGACTTTTTCTGGACTCTTTTCTGTCGGTAAACTTCCCTGAGAAGCGGCGGACCGACCGAGCAGCTTCAGCTCCGCGAGGATCTGATGTGATCAGCCGCCAGCGCGCAGAGAGACTGAGCGGAGAGCAGCAGCGGGAGGAGGGCTCACTCTGAGGCGGATTGGTGGACCGGACACCTGGCGGCAGAACACCGCCTCCACCGCAGCTTAAAGCTCCAGAAAAATATAATAAAAATACCAAAAAACTACACAGGTTGGAGTTTATGGTGGTAGTAGGTCAAACTTTAATGAACTTTGGATCATTAATGAGCTCAAACTCGTTAACTCAAACTAGTTCAGTCAAATGACCTGAACTTTGAAAACATGTTTGATAAGTTAAAAAAAAAAAAAAGTTAGATCAACTCACTGGTTCTTGGTTATTAAAAAAATGTAAAAACAAAAATATATATAACAATATATTTAAAAAATGTAAAAAGTTAAAAATAATGTAAATACAAAAATATATAATAACATATAAAAAACATATTGAAAATGTAAATACAAAATATATAATAACAATATTTCAAAAATAAAAACCATAAAAGTGTAAATACAAAAATACATTATAACAATAACAATGTATTTTTAAAAAATTTTAAAATGAAAATTAAATACAAAAATATATAATAACAATAATAAAATAATAGTAATAAAATAACGATTTAAAAAAAACATTTAACTACTGTGGTAATATAACCCAAAATGTGATGTGCATGGATGTGACGCCAGGTCTAAAGAGGTTAAACAGTTTCTCCTTCGTTTAACGTTGACAACTTTCAGCCTCAGCTAAAAGCCTGTGATGCTGCTCCCTGTTACACTGAGCTACAATTACCCGAGGTAATTCAAAGTGCTTCACACAGAAGTATAAAAAGACAGATAAAATCAGTCCACAGAACATGAACACAATTATTAATTAATTAATTAAAAGCAAAGAGGCAGATAAAATTATTGCATAAAAACATAAATATAATCATTAATCTGAAGAGTACAGATAAAACACTTCCAGCTGTCATATGCACAACTAAACAGAACTGTTTTCAACCTGGATTTGAACATTGTCAGAGTCGAGGCCTGTCTCACATCTTCTGAAGTCCAGTTCCAGATTTTAGCTGCATAAAACTGGAACGCAGCCTCATCGTGTTTGGTCCTGACTCTGGGCACCAGCAGGAGATCCTCCCTGAGGTTCTCAGAGCCCCACATGGTTCATATGGCACTAACATGTCAGAGATGTACTTTGGTGCTGGACCATGAAGAGACTTCTACACAAGCACAAATGTAATAATTACCTTTGTCATGGCTAGAATATTTTTCATTACTCTGAAAAGAAACAACCCTAGCTCAGTTTGACAAAAACACAAGTTTCCATTATGTCTGTTTTCTCAAACTACAGAAAAGAAAAGTAGTTTCACTTCTCCAACAATACATCCTGGGAATATATCGCTTTGTTTCTCATATATTTATATATTATATTTCACAGTGCATGTTGCATGCTACTAGTCGGTATAGTTACAGAGCTAGCTTTCTTTCTTTTTTTTTTACACAATATTTATCCTATATTTTCTAACCATCTGGAGAAATTTGCAATGTTTTTGTAAAAATGTATTTTAGTCCTATTTGTCGAGCTAAAACTGTTCCATCATCAAAACAAAGACAGCAGCCAGATAAAATGACATGTCTGTCTTGTCCATCCCATTGTTATACACAATAATACATTTTCTTTATTTTGTACAAAATAGAGGGATAGTGTTCAGTGAGCTTCAGGTCCAATGCTGACACTTCTTTCAGACAGTTTATTTGGTTTAGTTGGAGATTGTTGAACTAATCAGATGTTAAGCGATTGGATCTAAGGTAAACTAAGCTAACAAATGTTAAGCTCTGTGACTGAAATATCAAAATAATATGGAGCACGAACTGGGAAGAAAAAAAAGGCAAAATAAATGCAATAACAACAAAAGCAATGCCTGTGTGACCTTCCGGAAAAGACAGACACAGACTTGCTGTTAGAAAACACAAAAAACAAACAAGTTAGCACAAACCAAACTCAAGCTGAAAGTCAAAATGTATCACAAAGAACATTTAAAAACAAGAAGAGCTGATCCAGAGTCCTGTACAACTCAACCAGCAGCCAAAAAAGATTATGAAACACATGGACTAGAGGATAGATCAAAATGAAAGACAACAGAATAATGAGAACACAAAGGTTACCACATAATTAGAGATAAAGTTTTCAGAGATTAGGGTGAGGGTTTGGAATTACAGAGTTTCTGAATCACAGCTGCTCTCTATTTTTGTGTCTGAATCTTGGAACATCCTGGTGCATCTGGAGGATCGTTTTCAGAGCTCTGCTGGGCTACGAAGAGTTCGGCAAACTATGGGGGCATTGACCCATTTATAAAACCTTTAAAACAGCCAATGATATTTTAATATCAGTTCTGAAAAGCACAGGAAGACAGTGGAGAGAGGCCAGACCTTCACTCATGTTCTCTTTTTCCTGTTAGAGGCCAAGAGATGACTGCTCTCAAAGAATTTAAAAAGTGGTAATAAAG